TTAAGCGCTGTCCTTAAAACTTAAATTGTAAATATCTGTTGCATTCTTCACAATAACACCTTTTTTAGGCCACATAGATTCAGATCCCCCCTTTTAGGATTAATCTATAGATACAAAGTTGAAATCTCTGATTGTCTGTTTGTTTGTATGTCCGATCATAAATCATGAACCCTAAACCGATTTCCTTCACATTTCAATTGTGGAACTATGCCAATGTCCAAAGCTTGGTTAAAAATCCTGAGTTGGGTTAAATTTTATAGTGAAAGATTAGTTTCTAGGCAAAGTTGGGCTTTCAAGCTTATACAAGGATAAACTTGTCGTATGACTATTATTCTCTTTCTTATTTTTTATCATAAAGTGTCAGAAAAATTATCTATTTCTGAAAAAAAAATTTAGAACATTCTTAGAAAGTTTTTTCTTAAAAGTAAGAATGAAGACGCAAATCATTCCGCTGTTTATCTGCAAAAAAAACACAATGCGTGTTTTTAAGAAATTCTTTAAAATGTTTCAATTTTTTTAAAAGCAAAACTTGAAAAATACATGAATTGTACATTCCTCTATTTTACTTGAAAATGTCAATAAATAAAGGTTTAGTCCCTTTAAATATATACTTTAGACAACACTGTTGCATTTTTAAATTGCAGTTCAGTTATACAACATTTAGCAATTTGAAATGCTTTGCCGGGCTCATTTTAAAAATCCTCTAAAGTTTTAATTAAATTTCTGTTTAAAATAATAAAAAATATTCCAAAAATGTCTTTGCACATTGTAATATAGAAATTTTTGAGAAATGGTTCAATAAAAATTCAAGAAGTATTTCTTTTTTTCATATTTCATAAGTATTACTTTAAAATTGTCTTACACCTTTATCACTCACAAATTATATAAGGAAAAATGTAAAACAAAAAGTAAATTATTTTTTTTCTAGAAATGAGTATGTTGTTAAAATCGACGCATAAAACGTTAGTTCCGTTTCGCTTTGTTTTTATTTTTAAACTTTTTTTAACTCGATGGGTTTAACTATCGAACTGATTTTTAACTTTTTAACTTTTAGAAAAATTCATAAATGTCGTCTGTATACCTTAATTAATCCCTCACAAAGTAAAATGTACTAAAGCTTGTCTTAGCAATTATTTCATGTTCTGAAAGAATTAAAGACCTGTAGACTCCTTTGGTCATATTTAATCTTTTAGACTGGGGAAATTTGTTATCCACATACTAAACACATTACACACATAGCTCCATGGTATGTATTTTTGAAACGAGTCCTTAAAGGGAGTTTTCGAGAAAAATAAAAGGGGGTATAGACTTGCGGCGAAAAATTAGCGCTTTTGATCGCTACTAATCTTACTTATATCTGTTGCGTCTATAATGAGAAAATTGTTAAAAATGACTCATACCGAATTCAACAAATTCGGAAAGTTGCAACATTCAACTCGGATCGTAAAAAAATCAATTTGATCCCAAACAAATCATTAAGACATTACAACCAATAATGATCGATAATTTTTCGACGCATTCGTATAAAGTCGATATTTCATAATTATTTTTTTTGTTTTGAAAACATTTATTCATGTTTTGAGGATTTTTGACAATGAAGACGACATTTTCATATTTTCCAGGAATGTTTGAAAATCCAGCGCCAGCGAAATATTATTTTTAAAAACGTAATAAAAAATATTATAAAATATTAACTATATACAAATGCTCCGAAAAATATTCGATGATTTTTATTTGTAATATCTGAATGATTTGTTTGCAATTAAATTGATTATTTTACTATCCGTGTTAAATGTTGCAACTTTCTGAAAATGTATGAGCGCTATTTTTTCAGCATGAGTCTTTTTTAATAATTTTTCCTGAAGGACGCAACAGATAGAAATAAGATTAGCAGCGATCAAAAGCGATTATTTTTCGTCTTAAGCCTATTAGTATTTTTCGCGAACACTCCCTTTAAATCTCAGTTAGGATTAGAGCACCTTTTAAGGTCTTTAGACAACGTTAACAATTTTTGTATATCGTCAACGAAACGATGTTTAGAAAGAACTACAGCTTGTTTTTATTTTAAAAAGAGAGCCCTTTTTCGTTTTTTTTTCTTTAACCGATACGATCTGTTCGTTCTTTATAAAAAGTGAAAACTGTCTATCCCATTATGCAGTTTTGATTTACATTTTGATTTTAATGCTACCTTTAACCCCCTTTTGATGTTTAATAGCGAATGAAAAAATGTCGAATATATTGATGCAAATGTCTAGACTGTTAAAAAACATGTATGGAAACGTGATGTATAATCAAACTGCAATTATTACATAAAATGATACATTTTTTTCACCGTACTTTGTGTGCAAAATGATAATGACAAAATCTTATGCATTAACGATAGCAGTCTCTTTTATTCGATGCCATTTTATAAATGCACTTGTTTTACAAGGACATTATGCAGTTACGTGAAGGTCAGTTGCATGGTTCATATCCCCCTGCACCCCC